CGCCGAGCGCGCCCATCACCATCATCGAAGCTGATACTGACATCAACGACTTCTCATTTCCACACTATCCCCGTACATTTACCTCACGCATCTACCTAGTCCGTCACTTGCGAATCCGTCTCACAGATACTGATGATCAAGTGCTTGTAGCACTAATCTACATTAACCGCATCCGCCTCCACTGTCCACATTACACTCGCAAATTTAATTACCGCATAGGTCTATTAGGCCACGTGTGCGTCCACGAAAACCCGCCGTAGAAAACCGCCGGCTGCATCACACCATGGCATCCTCTCTCACCAGCATGTCGCCAAACAACATCTCTCATCACAAACACCTAACTGTCCCCTCTCACGCAAGTGACAAGTGTGCGTCTAGGCTCCTTCTCCATGCGGCTACCCCGCACAGGTGGGATCGGAGTCTGAGACGAAGACTTGGCGTCGAGCGCCGCGGCTCGGAAGGCGGCCGACTGACGCCCCAAATTAGTCCACGCAGTCTGCCCAGATGTGTATTTTGTGTGGTGTGGTAGATAGTGGGCCGAGAGCCAGGCTGTCATGATCCCTTCTCAAGCAATCTGCGACATTCTCATATACGTGTGGAAAGCGTGTGTATTTTATGCGTAGTACCTCTCAGTCGAGGACTGTTTGGTTACCAAACCCTGAAGGGTGACGGCACAGGCTGAATGCAGGGCCGCGTGCCGCCCTACTAGGCCAAAAGTTCTGCAAGCTTGTGCTACTCCGGTATCAGCAAACGATGACCTTCGCAGCCTGGTATGCGCTTGCAGTTCCCTGGGGGTTGATGCGCTTGTGCTCCCGCCTATTATTCAGGTGGTGGGCATGGCTACAGAGTCATCATTATCGTCCTTCTAACCCCCTGTTGTGGAGTTGTTGTTGGTGAAAATCCTGGTCAAGCGTGTGTTGCGGACCAGGGGTGTGGTGGCACACGTAGGTGCGGGTCCGGCCTCGTCAACCATCTGCGCCCTCCCCAGTCTGCGGTCTTCTTGACATTGTCTCGACGTCGTGTCCAGGTAGGGAGGGGTGAAGGGAGAGTGCGGTAGATGCTGCGTAAGTCCACTAGCACCACAAACTAATTCGCGCACTGGCCACCGTGCCTGCAGCACTTGATGTGTAGAACACATCGGACATCGTCGGAACCGACGGTCGAACTGCCGAGGTAATGCTTCTCAGTCGATGACGGACTGGTTACCCGGCCTTCGAAGTGTGATGGTCTGGGCAAAATACACTGCTTCGTTTCAGTCTTCTAGGCCTTAAGGATTGTGAGTCTGTTATCTCATGATTCAGAAAACCCTGGCCCTCGCAGCCTTGTGTGCGCTGACAGTTTTCTTGCATCTCGTTCGCTGCCGGTGGATGCGTTTGTGCTCTCATTGGGTGTAAAAGCCGTGTGCGAAAATCGCCAATTAACTTGTGTTACCAGTTTTTATTCATGGTTAAAGTCCTGGTCAAGCGTTTGTTGTCCAAGCCCGGCGGGGTATTGGCACGCCTAGGTGTGGGTACAGCCGTGATAGCCACTTGCGCCCTTTCCTGTCTCTGTTCTTCTAGACTATGACTTTGCACTGTGACCAGTCAGGGGAAGAATATAGAGTGCAGTAGATACTGCATAATTCAACTATCCCTGCAAAATTGTTTCACGCGATCGTCACCGTGCCTGCTCTCACCTTCCTGTGGGACACGACGTGGGCATCGCTGGACGCGATGACCGAACTGTTGCTCATCACGTCTGAATCAGAGCCTTGTGAGCGTTCATAGTAAATAATCGAATATTCCGCGTTTTAGTTTATCATGAGGCATTTTACAATCAGTAAATGACGTACGAGGAGCTAAAACCCAAGAAGTGTGATGTGATATGAGTCGCCGTAGTAGTTAGATACTCATCATCTTATGACAAAACGAAGTGCTGTTTTTCATTCACTTTCACTCCGAAGAATTATCTTAATTTTGATCAAGATCAAAAATGACGTGGAAACTATAGGCGGTTGCTAGTCACCATTTTCGGCAGAAAATTTGACTGCTTTGTAAAGAGCAGATATTTGTAGTTAAGTTTGTTTTAATTACTTTTGTTATTGCTCTCCTGAGCGACAATCCGCTCTCTTGGAAGCGACGGTTACGGATCGCGAAGCGGACGCGCAAGAGGTGAAACCCCGCGTACCGACACCCAGACAGGAAGGAGGGTAAATCGGAGGAAAGCTCACGCATACCTTCTGGTTCCCTTACTCTATTGTCACCCCCTTTACCCCCTGCCCCCGAATTACAATTTCCCTACTTGTTCTCCATTCAATAAACGTTCCTTGTTGGAAGTTCATTTCTGGTATTGACTGTTGCGATTCGCGTGATCATACCCATAAGACCCACACACAAAGGAGAGACGTGATGGATATGTCCGCTATACCTCCTACAGACGAACAGACTCAACTATCTCCCGAAGACCTCAACACAGACGAGACCAAGTCTTCAGGTAACCCGTGTATTACAATGGTGGCAGCGCGCACGATAGAACCGTCTAGCCCTAGAAGAACACCAGCGCCCTACTACCACGCCATACCATCCTCATTTCATATTTTTGATGGAGAAGAAGACTTTGGGGATTGGCTAAATCTACTTGATTTTTATTTGGAGGAAGTACCTGACAACGAAAAAAGCCGCGCCTTATTGAAACATTTGGCAAGTAGGCAACTCCGCCAGGCGCTTAATTCTGGAGTATCAGGACGTACTCCATATAAAAACCTTTGTTGCCAACTACGCCGTCTATTCTCTCCAAGACCTTCCGTAGGACAGTCGATCGAAAAGTTCCTCAACCGCCGTCAGCAGCCACACGAGTCTCCGCGCCAGTTCGCGAAGGATATGCTGAGATTATGTAAAGAGGCTTATCGCTCTTTGAACGCTGCGGACGCCGAGGAAGTCACCCTTCACCATTTTATAAAAGGGTTGTCCTCTCGTACTCTAGCCGAGTTACTTCAATTACAACCTCCGGCATTTTTAGAGGATGCTATCGACCGAGCAGACCGTTTCGTCGAGGTTGAAAGATCCAAAGTTTCCACTGGACAAAATTGGCGGCCGGCACCTCCACGCCCCCAAATGGCAAATGCATCTAATTTTACGCCACAGCGTTTTGGGCACAATTTCAATAACGGTGCTAGATTTCGTCCACCACATCCCAGGTATCAACCACGGAGTAATCAAATAAGGGAATATCAACCACTGCTGTGCCAGTGTGGAGTGCGACAGTGGCTGCCGGAGGACAGACACTCGTACCAACAACCTGGTAGCGTTTCTATCCCAGTTTGTTCTGTGCCGTCTAATGACCCATCATTCTTTATTTCTATTTATGTTGAAAACAAACCTGTTAGAGCCCTTATAGATACTGGCGCTACACTCTCTCTTGCTAACCCACTTATTTTTACTCATCCTCTACACGGACGTATACATAAATATGGGCCCCTCCCTACGTTAGTCGCCGCTAATGGATCCCCCTTAGAGTGTTTAGGGATTGTCCACATCAAGTTACAATTCGAACATTCGTGTAAGGACCATGACTTTTTGGTTGTCCCCGGATTGACATGGGACTTATTGTTAGGTATGGATTTCCTTAGCAAATATGATTGCTTTATCAATGTCAGAAATCGAGCGGTCAGTTTTGGTGGAGGATTAGATTTGGCAAATACTAACAATTCGTTTGATGAGGCCGTCGTTTGTGCACTAATTTCTGCCGTCGTGAATCTTCCACCTACAAATATCGATGATGTACTGAAAGACCACACAGACATGGACATGGAGCATAAGGAGGGTCTTCGATCACTACTTTTATCTTTTCATGATGTTTTCGCATGGGATGAAAGCCAG